TGTATGGAGAATGCATGTTTAAAATAATGTCCCCCAGACACTGAAAGGACTCGCTTCTGACCCAAGAGGAAGGCATCGTTGGTTGGTCTAAATTCAGAATTTTGCTATCTCGCTCCTAGACCTTCAATAGGCCTTTCAACATTGGGGGAGAGTTCTCAGACCACACGGGTTTACACACTTGTCAGAGCTTCTGCGGGGTCTTCCCAGCCTCCAGAAACAGATGCAATGACAACTCAAGGTGTTAATGTCCTTGGATTTATATTTTTATGAGTTGGAAGAAGTACTGGAGCCAGAGGTCATTGAGGGCAGCTTGGGACCTTTGGGGAGAATCCCAGTCTTGGGAACAGGAAGTGTAGTGAATCCCAGATGAGCAGAGCGAGTGATCTGTAGGATTCAGGGAGCTACAGGAAGCGGGGCTTTAGAGGGCAGAAGTAGATGAAAGAGATTTAGAGGTGATGCCCCATGGGGGGAGTGTTGTGAAATTACAAAAGAGTTGAATCTGTATTGTCCATTATTGTGATCGCCTCTGTATAGTAGGCCGGGTAGGAAAGTATACTAACCAGCTCCGGATGCCTGTTCTCATGAAGTCAGCAGTCGGGTGGAATGCAAAGCTGGCTACTAAGTTTATTGCATGTTTGAGTCCAGGCTAATAAATCCTAAGGAGGTGACAAGCCACTTAGCTTACTCCAGCTGCTGGTCCCACTGCTGCAGTGGCAGGTGTTGACCTTTGTGTTGCACGGCTCTAAAGGACTCATGAAAATTTCAGATGGACTACGGTCATATTTGCACAAACCGTCTCCAGTGCGTATCACACTTCATCTGTTTCTATTTATCATCATTTTGAGAACACACTGTGTAGGAGAACCGGACGGCGTTTTGATGCGGCGGACCAGGACTCTCCCTGTGGTCTCAGAGCAGTATGTATGGTCTGCTGGGAAGGAGTGCACCAGGCATGCATTTCCAATACCGATGTGTAGGTAATTCACAGAAGCTGAAAATGAGGTGCGGTGATAACCACGGAGGAGGCGCTGTTTAGACAGCGCTGCAGGGGAGGTTAGTATCCAGTTCCCAAGTAGAATATGGTTACTTTCTGTCGCTTTTGTTTCTCTGATATTTCTGATGCCCGATTGGCAACCACACATCACTGCTAACCTCTCCTCTCTGTGGGATCTCATATTCCAGCGAACACACCATGAGCACTTATTTAAATGCCTAATCATTGGCAGAAATGCAGCTGTGTTCATTATTGTCAATTCTGATTTGTATGATGTTCCCATCCAAACATACCTCAGGGTACATTTGCGCATCTAATTACAGCATTAAAACTAATAATAGCCTGATAAAGCATTGCTCAGACAAATGTCTAAGCAAACAGCTGGCTGTTTCATTGTGTCCTGAAGGACAGGCAGTTTGAGACTTTGTTCTCCAACTGGAGGGCCTGAATTCCAAACTGCAAAACCGCCTCCATGAGTATCCCACTGAGGGGAGGCGCGGGCAGGAAGTGTCTAATTCAAAGGTTTTGAATAAATGAGACTCTACAAAACTCAAGGTTTAGGGGACTGCATGGAGGGAAAAAAAACGTGTGTGTGTGTGTGTGTGTGTGTGTGTGTGTGTTTCTTTCTTTCCCACCCAGAGGTAAACTAACTCAATTCACATTGTAACAAAATACACTGGGCTATTGCTACAAGGTATCATTAAAACGCCAGCTTTTCTACTGCATTCAGAAAATTGATAACACAAAATTTCCAAAGATAAAGAACACTGTCAGCTTTCCACTGTTGTCCCATGGAAGATGGTGGCTCATTCTATTTGTCGGAGTGTTTCTATGAAGCATTTTCTTGAGAGAGAAGAGATGTTTTTGAAAGTTGGTGTGTCCTGCTGGCTAAGTCAGCCTCTTCCTGTCATGTTATCCACAGCAGGACTGATGCGTTATTTAAGAGATAATGTCCTCCTTCCCACGGTCAGCTCCAGTTCAGGAAGCAAGCTGTATTGTCAACCAAGCAGTTAAGGAATGGAAATAGTTAGCGTGTAGGAAATTCTTGGGGCTTGGACCCTATGGAAAACTCTACTTGGCTTCAGGTATACTGGAGCTAATAATCTCTTTGATTCACATCAAAATGAAAAAATGTAGACTTGTAGAAAAACTTGTTAATTATGGGAATCATCTCTTATTGAAATAGGTCGAGAGACCACATGCAGTTGCACGCACGCACGCACACATGCATGTGCACACACATGCACAAACATGCCTGTACAATCTTCTCTTTAAAGACCTTCAGTTGCTATCTAAATTTTCATCAACATCACACCCCTCAGGTGTAAGAATGGACTAAATAAATCCTCCAGTTGCTCTGTAATTTCTTCATGGGTGCCACCCCTTTCAGACTGAGAAAGTGCAGTGAGCAGTACTTTTGCGTAGATAAGTTCATTTAAAGTAATCCTCACAAAATGTAGCTATCATATTAGATATGAGAAAGCCATGGTTGCAAAGTGAGCATTGTACAGCTGACCTTGGGGTGGGTAAAGGATCAGGACTCACAGGCCTTGGCTCCTGGCTTCGTCTGCAATGAGCACAGACTCTCAGGGTCATTTCTAACTCTGCCTAGATTCCAGCCTCTTCATTTATAAAGTCCAAGTGGGGAATGAGATGATTTGGAGAACATCTCTCTCTCTCTCCTCCTCTGTAAAGCATGGCCCAAGGGAAATGTGAATGAAATCAATATTTAATGAAGAAGGCTTTGCATCTCTGCACACGACACAAGCTCCTTTTATAGGATGTATACATGCACATGTTTCCTGGGGTGGTGGTGATGTGGGAATGTATTCAGAGCATCTCTCTATATGACAGGAGGACTCATGGAGCTAGTGTGCTAGAATTCTCTGCTAACCCTGACTTGAATTTTCTTCTGTCCTAAGGTCTCTCTCTTATCCCAGTTCTCTTATCATCTATCTGCTTTGAAGTTTTCTGAGTTCGTCTGATGCTGAACTTTGCTATATTTGATTATAGGTATGAATAATTATGGAGCAAGAAGAAAGGATTTTTTTTCTTTTTTGCCTCTAAAAATGAGCTCTCAGTCTAGGGAAAATTGTCTGGATCTGAACGGTTTAAACAAGGGGCTACTAGCACCTGTGGCAGAGATATTGAAATGCAGCTGGCGCTCTTCCTAAAATACACACGAGGTTTCAAAGACTAATAAGAAAAAAGAATGCAAATTAGTGCACTAATAATTTTTCATATTGATTACTTGTTAAGATTAGGTATTTTCAATATGTGGAGTTAAATAAAATATGTTGTTAAAATAGATGAATATTTTAATTTTTATGCTATTTTTTGTTGTGAAACGATCTTGTGATCTTGCCTAGGCAGGTTTCAAGCTCTTGAGTTTAGCTACATGAGAAACTGGGACTAGAGGTCTATACCTCTCATGCCTGACTTTTCATTTTTTAATGAATGTAAGCGTATATATGATGCTTTGCATCGGCAACCTGTATTACGATTGAGAGCAATCAGTGTGCCTGGTGGGTAGCAACTGGAGGTGATGTTACAAATCCTGAAATGCGTAAGGCATCGTCTCCCCAGCTTCCCAATATAGGTGCTGTAGACAGGAGGAATAGAAAGATGAGAAACTAAAGCTTAGTTTAGGTTGTATTTAAATGAATATGTAACTAGCAGCATTATTGAAGGGTTACTACAGTCAGTACTGGGAGACGGTAGGTGGTTACCATGGAAACACAAAAGCAACAGGTCTCCTCAATCTCTTTAACAAATATTCAGTGAAAGACTGCAAATCACCTTGGAAATAAATGTGGGAGAATAAGTGCATATATGTAAAAATGTACAAATATTGCATTGTGACTGTATACAAAGCTTCTGCAAAGAAAACAAACAGGAAGTATGCTGCTCACCTTCACAGGTGAAGCCATCAGGCCTGCATGAGGTGCCATGGCAAGAATATAATGTATCTTCATGTAATGCTGGGAAAGTAGCTATGGGAGAAACAACAGATCAGATCCTGTGGATTTCAAAGAACCATGCACCATGTTTCTTTGGGGGAAACCAGGAGATGTTTCCTGTAGAAAGTCCTATCTGAAAATATATTTCTAATGGTGGGCCAGAGGATAATCCACGGAGAGAGTGGAAAGGCCTTACATGGCAGAGGGAACAGCATGGTCCAAAACAGGAAGCAAGATGTGTGCGAGTACTTCACATGAAGCTGGAAAATAATTAAAATTTCAGTGACAAAAAGTTAGAACAAGACTAAAAAAATAAAAACACTAAACAAAAGAAAAGCAAACAAAACCAAATTATGGAGATCATTTACAAAAGATAGGCAAGGTAGAATCAAAGCAAGTACCAATGTGTGCTCTGGGCATTGGATGCCATACAGGTCAGTCTATGAGAGATCTAAAGAGGGCCCTGGGTTTTTAGCTTGTGTGCCTGGGAACAGAGAGGCCAGGAGGATGGATTTGTTCATCAGTCATGGAAAAGATGATGGGTATGGTACTGGCTTCCTGCATTTGAGGTAATAGTAACTTATCCATCCAGGTGGTGGAAAGTGTGAGGCTGTGCCCAGAATCAGATCTTTAGGGCAAGAGAGGGAAAATTTTGGAGTCATGTAAAGTGATTTTTGATGCTGCTCCAGTGAGATATTGCCAATGAAAGGGTCAGGAAACAACCTTAAGTATGACTTGAGATAATAGAAGGAGGCAAAAGTCAGGGAAGGGATTAAAAATGTGGAAATGTGGCCAAAGACACAGGAATGGGATTTTGGGGTTCAGGGATGTGTCCACTGGGAACGGCCCGTGGATGGTAGAGCCGGGATGTGTTCAGTATTTTGATTTCACAGTTGGAGTCATGTGAGTAGCGTCCAGTAACTAGGGTGGACCGCAGTTGAGGGTATGGCTAAGTTGCTGTTTCCTGTGGACCTGGACTGACCCACAAACCTCTCTCGGCAGAACAGCCATTAATGTTCAGGCCTTCTCTTGGGTCTTTAATTCCTTCACCAGATATTCATTAACCAGAAATCCATTATTTTATCTGCCATACTGTGGCTGCTTACTGCTTACAAAGAAGTGTGAGATTATAAAGCATCCATTCTCAACCTGTGGGTAACAACCTTTTTGAGTGTTGAATGATGATGGGTCACCTAAGACAAAGGGAAAACACAGATACTTACATTAAGATTCATAACAGTAGCAAATTACAATTATAAAGTAGCAACAAAAATAATTTTATGGTTGAGATGGGGGGTGTCAGCACAACATGAGGAACTGTATTAAAGGGTCACAGCAATAGGAAGGTTGAGAACTGCTAGAATTAGATTCTTCATCATACGTGGAGTTCACGAAGCCATGGCTCGGAAGAATGGCAGGAAGACATTTTTTTTGATCACTGTGCTCCTAAGTTAGATCTTGTTGTTCACCTATTTCCTTCAAAGCCCTGACCACCTTGAGGACTGCCATCTTTGATAAAGGAGCAAGTCTAGTGTACTTTCCATTAGGCAGCTTAGGGCGAGGAGAGTGAGCCTGGTAAGATAACATGACGTAGAAATGAGGGGAGGTTAAAACTAAATAAATAGATCTGCTCCATCCTTGATGGCATTTTTTATAGTTACGAAAAAGGTAGCTTAATCCTTACATTTTATCTGCCGTTTTCAGAAAGTTTGGTGAATCCTGAAGTCACCGCCTCATTTTAATATTTATGATGGAAGGGAACTGGGACATAGATGAATACAGTTTTATGAACCAGAATGAGAGAATAATAGTTTTAAAATATATTTCCCAGTTGGAAACTCTTTGCTGTTTGATTATCAAAAGACGTGCTGACTATAATTTCTGGCCTTTCCTACACATGCTCCAGGCTCCCTGTTAGGTACCAATGTGTGCTTCCCAGTCTGGGCTGGATCAAGAAGTATTTCCATCTTACCCTGAGGCTGGCTTTTCTGCGTAGTGTGACTGGCGAGACCTTAGTTCCTTATGGTGATAGTCTTTCTTGTAATTGATGACAACTTTTATTTCCCTACAGGAACCATGTTTCTGATGATCTAGGGGAACTTATGATAAGAGTCATGGGAAGAGTTTTATTTTTTTTCTATTATTTAATTGAGAATAAGAGATTAAAGGAGGGAAGTAATTCATCCTTGAAGAACTTGGAATACTTTACGATACAAATTACAGGAGATGCAGATGTAAGAGCCCTGGAGTTGTTGAAAGCAGCTGTGATAGTTAAGGCTTCGGTCCGTGTTGCCGGCGCACACCAGTGACCGCTCCTGAGGATCTTGTGTTTTAAAGTAGATGGAAAGAGTCAAGGCAATGTCACGTGGGCGTTAGGGTGTTCGTCTGGTGATAGGAAATGCATTGCTCTAACTTGAGATTCATTGCTTGGCCTTGATTAAATTTTATGTAAACCTATTTAATATTTAGGGCTAAGATTCCATGTTTATAAAACAAGGGTACTGCCGAGTCTCCTTGCCAGCTTCGCGGTGATTAGGTCCCCAGCATTACCCTCGTAGTGGCAATAAGTAACAATTATTAAAATCCTGTGACAAATGTTCTCCACCAATGCTGCTAACTAATTAATTTAAAAACTGATTTTAAAGCGCTGGCATGGGAGAATGTAAAATTACAGTCTTTTAGGACTGTGGAAACATAGCTCAGGGATTTCTCCTCAGTGCTTCTTGCCAGGGCTTCTCCTGGGAGCTATGGCTTCTTAAACCATTGGCATTAAAAACACCATGTGGGCAAGATGGGGGAGGGGCTCAGCGCCTTGGAACGTATTAGTAAAATATATTAATGAAGTGGGAAAAAACGGAATTAAGAGAGTTCTTGAAAAGTTCCTCCTATGTGTCTACAGCCTGCACTTGCTGTACCTTCCTGTGCAGTAACAGGCTTGCAGATGGTGTTTCTGTGGCCAGAAATCTTCTTGAAAGTTCTACTGATGGGAATATTGAAAACTGATATAATTGCAAATGAACATTCTGGGCTGGAGCCAGGGCTCAGTGGGGAAGGGTCCTTCCTGCTCTTCCAGAGGAACCCAGTTTGGATCGCAGCGGGTAGCTCACAACTGCCAGTAACTCCAGCTACGGGAGAATCTGGTGCCCTCTTCTGACCCCCACAGGCACTTTTATACATGTGCCATAGATCCACACAGACATAAAAAAAAAGTCTCTAAAATGCCAAGTAAACATGCAACCCAAAATACACCCATGAAGGGACTACACAACACATTGCCTATTTAGTTTATTTAAATATGGTTCTATTCATACATAGTACTTTAATTTTTAATTTTAATGTTCAGGTGGGGTTTTGTTGCTTTGGGGTGTGTGTGTGTGTGTGTGTGTGTGTGTGTGTGTGTGTGTGTGCCCACCCTGTACCTGGTAGAGCTCTGCCACCAAGGCCCTCGTGTTCAGTTTTAAGAAGTTACTATTTGAACCCTTTGGTTGTGGTTCTCCGTAAGTTCCTAGCAGAGTGGCTAGGAACATGGAAAAGCAGCATGGCCAGAGGAAGCACACCACCCCTGTGGTAGGACGTGAAAGCTTCTCCTGTGAATCACAACCCAAGGACTTCCTGAGGTGTCTTCCCCTCAGAGATTTTAGTGAGTTCAGAGAAGAAGCGGTGGCCCGAGAGACGCAGCATTTGGAGGCCAGGGCAGAGTCAGGGGAGGCTGCTGGTCGTCTGACCCACACACCCCGAGTCCTCTGCTTCCTCTTGGTGAGTCTCCAGCAGTCATTTTGAATTGTATCCACATTTTCGTGATTATTTTCTTACTCCTTGTCCACCTCCTCCATGAGATTATGGGCTGCACAAAGGCCAGTGTGGTATCTGGTGTCGTACAGCATTGTAGTCCTGCTATCTAGAGCATAGTGAAATCTTTGGTAAATATTTATTGACGGGACAGATGGATTGATGGATGGCAGCCCTCGGATTTCCACAGCTGGATGGGAAGCCCCTGGTGGGTAATGCTTACTCAGACAGTTGCTGCAAGCTGAGGGCAGTTACCATGGTGGTCCAGCTTTGCAGGCTGCTCTTGGTGTGTCTGCCACCTCAGAGGTGCTCTTGGCTCCTTGTCTGTCTGTCTCATAGGCCACTGGATGTGTTTATGAACAGCCCTTGCCTCTCTCTGCCTGTCTCTCACCAGGCTGTTTTCTTCGCACAGACTGCTAGGCTGTGTCTCTGAGAGTGCTTTGGATGGAAAGCTACCAGAAATTCTGCCAGAGAGCATCTCAGTACCTATCAGCAATCATTTTTATCAGAAAATAAGATATCAAGAGAATTCTGTAGTTGAAGGGAAGGAGACCACCCTTTCCCAAGGCTTCTGAACAGTTTTTCCCCCCTCTGGAATTGTTATCTGCAAGATGGTCTTATAAAATACATCCTTCTGCATCAGCAACACCAGAGGGGATCTTGCACGTGTGCTGCTGTGGCCAGGGTGGCCGAGGAAAGACTGTAGAGTGTCAGAAAGCTCACGAGGCAGCTTCGGTGGGAATACGAGCTGGCATCAACTGAACATAGGTTAGATATCTATCTAACATTGTTCTAGCAAGTTTTCAATCAGTGAGTCCCAATGACAGCCCTCTGAAGGAAATATTTTAACCTCCTTTTGAAAACCTTTGTAGGGAAGTGAATAGAAAATGAAATACTGTGGCATATCAAAATAGCAAAGGAGAAAACAAATGAGAAAAAAAAAACTCCAAACAAAAGAATATGGGTGAAAATGTAGAACAGGTGAATGGCAGGAAATTACAGTGGTCTTTATTAGTGTTGTTATCTGTGAGTGGTGGACTAGATGTGGATTTTGTTTCTTCTTCATACTTTTCAATATTTTAAAATAGGACATTTAAAAACCATTGTTCTTTTAATAACGAGCACAGTTGACACCTTAAGTTCTCAATGAGTAATCATCAGCTGGTGAGAATTGAGTTGCATTAGGAACAGTGTCTAGGGAGTCCTCAGGATTAAGGCCTCCTAGGCAGGAAGCAACCCTGGTCATTAGGACAGTGGGACACCGCTCAGTGGAGAAGCCCCGTGAGTGAGTGGACTTCTGGCTCTTCAGGTGGAGAACACAAGGCAACACTAAGTAACTCAGGCCAAAGCAAACCAAATTCAAACAGTCAAGCCACAAAATCCCCGAAGACAAAACAGAGCCAAGCAACACCCCCCCGCCAAAAAAAAAAAACCATGTAAGACTAAAACTAAAACAAAGGAACAAAGCATACAAGGAAGAACACTCACTGATTAAGAATATTTTGGAAACTGGTCTGGAGAAATGGATCCGTGGTTAAGAGCGTTTGCTGCTCTTGCAGAGGTTTGGATTTCACATTCTAGCATCCACGCAGTGACCCACAACCGTCTGTAGTTCCAGGCGATCTGATGACCCTTGGCCTCTGAGGAAACACACATACCCATAAATAAAAAAATCTAGAAACAGATGATTTGGAAATTCAGATGAAAGTGCCCTATTGTATACGGTCATTAAGAGCTGGTTAATAAGCCGGGAGGTGGTGGCACATGCCTTTAATCCCAGCACTCAAGAGGCAGAGGCAGGTGGAGCTCTATGAGTTCAAGGCCAGCAAGTCTACAGAGCGAGATCCAGGACAGCCAGGGCTACACAGAGAATCCCTATCTCGAAAAACCAAAACCAACCAAACGAAAGAGCTGGTTGCTAATTTACGCATGTAACGTCAACAACTGGTATCCTTCCCATTGAGTGTGTGTAATGGCTCGGATCATTTCTATGTTTATTTCTCTACATCCGGGGTAAACCCACATCATGACCCAGGGTACCACCTGGTGGCAGGTGCAGAAGCTGCAGGAGAAACTGATGGCAAAGGGTACTTGAGAGACCCTAACCCTCACTGACTTTGAACATACCACCATTCATTTTGTGTCTTGTTTCTATGGAACTAGAAAATGGAATCGTAAACGTGGACAATGTCAAAATTTTTATTTTCTTTATAATGACAGTTCCTCTTTTGTTAATTACCATATTATCCCCCCTCAGTATGTGAGATGTTAGAAGAGGGTATGTTATGGTTTATTAGAGATAATGGACATGGGCTTAAAGACATTGGCATGGGTTCTCTATTGCATAGGCTGATGTTGGGTATCTGAATTTTAATTACTCTCTATATACACATATACATGTGTACACACACACACACACACACACACACTTATTTTTTTGATAGTGCTGGGGATGGAACTCAAGTCTTCATGCTTCTTTTGATAAGCAGTTTATTTCCCCAGCTCCATGATTTCTTTAAATTGTGATAATATTTTTGAACACTTTCAGCGGGAGAGCTACCAACTATTGGGAGTAATTGTGAAAAATCTCTTATTGTAAAGATCTTTTGCTTGAAGTGCACGTGTGTCAGTCCTTTTCTGTCACTAAATTCCTTCAGCACAATTTCCTCCCCATCAATACTGATGAGTCCCCAGTCCTTGGTGCCATCGTGGTTATGATTCCTCTGTGTTTCCCTTCTCAGGAGTAATGGGAAATGAATAAGGGGAGGAGGGAAGCCTTTTTAGTTTTGATGAATTATAACTATTTGTCAAAAAAAAAAAATGCCCCCAAGTGAGGACTTGCTTCAGGGACCTGAGCAGAGAGATAGCTGTGAAACCTGGAACTCTGGCTGGAAGGTGATGGCTTTGATAGCGGCAAGGGAAACAGGAGAGGGGAATCTATAATCCTCATGGAGGAAAAGAAAAACGAGAAGAAGAAACCCAAGAAGAGTGACCAGGAACTGGCCCTGAAACTTGTGGAGACAAGTGGAAGAAAAATCACTGGTGGTTAAATGAGAAGCGTCTCCCATAGGCTCAGGTGTTTAATACTCAGTCCCCAGTTAGTAGATCTGTTTGGGAAGGTTCTGGAACCTTTAGGAGATGGAGTCTTGTTAGAGGAAGTATGCCACAGGACTGGGCTTTGAGGGTTTGTAGCTTTCCCCCACTTCCTGTTCTTTCTCCTATCTTCCTGTGTGTGGATGAAAATGGGATCATCCAGCTCTTGCGTCCTTGGTCCTTGCCTTCCCTACCATTTTCATTACCATCCCTGTCTCGATGGTCTCCGTTCCTCTTGAAACATAAGCTAGAATAAATGCAGCAGGAAATTAACCTGTGGGTGACATGTGGGTCAGTCACTGACCCTGCTGCGCCGTCTCTCCGACCCCATCGGGTCTATGTTTTAAGCTTTAATATTGCTTCATCAAATAAAAAATAAATAAATAAATAAATAAAAAGGTTTAGTTCACGGGTATGGGATGACTCTCCCTGGTTTAAAATGCTGTTTTCTTATGAATGTTTCCTGTTCGGTTAACGTTTTCTGTCGGTGTAAGTTGACGATTTCCAGAGCGTCAGTGATGCGAAGGATCAAAACTCGGAAGCCCCCAGTTTTGTGGGCTGTGCTATGAAACACCGCGAGACTGACAGTTGATTTGGGACTTGGCTCTGTGCAAACATCCCCAGGGCAGAGTCCGGCCATGCTTCATGTGGACACAGAAAACTATTTCTCATGTTCATTCATTTTCAAGTATGTCTTCAATGCCTGCTTTGGGTTTAATATTTGAGGTGCCCAAAGTAACAAAGAATGGCATTCTATAGGAGTTCCTATTTGGTTGCACAGATGAGATTTATGTGCCGCGATGAAGTGAGGAACCACGAGAGACAGGCTTGAACCAGCATCCAAAACAGAATAGTTGACATTTGTTTCTTTTAATACACAACTTTTCAGGTTTTCACAGAGAGGTAACAAGTCCCTTCCACAGAAATAATGGCATTTTCTCATTTCAGCTCCCCCCCCCCCAATAATTTTCATGTACATGCAACATCATCGTGAACATTGCTTTAATAATTACATGCAAAGGATTATGGGAGAATTCACTTCGACATTCATCCTTCTCTTGAGCCTTGTTGGCCTGATGAGACCAGATTTGAAAGCTGGTAAATGTCGCTTCTGGCCTAGTCACCCTCGCTTGAAATTACAGTACCACCTCTGGCGATAGGAGCATTTGCATTTTCTTCCACAAGTTATTTCTCTCTGTGTGAAGAGTTTCCCTCTTACACGATGCAGGAGGAGTTTAGGAACCAACGGTTCCCTCTGGAAAGCGCTTCCTTCACACTGCTCTTGTTCCTGGCATCTCTCGGTGACTGTTTTACGGGGTGTCTATCTTTAACATGCTCCCTTCTCTTCACTGTTTATCCTCTTGCCAGCCCTGTGGAACCAGAGCCAGCTAAAGGGCAGCTGTGCCTGTGGCTCCCCACTGGCTGCCTGGTGGAGAAGGATGTGTCTGCATTTATGGCTTGTCTTCACTCAGGCCTCTTTGGTGGCATGGTGTGGCTGCTGAGCCAATTCTTGGACTGCCTGCTTTGTGTGTGTGTGCGTGCGTGCGTGCGTGCGTGCGTGCGTGCGTGTCTGTGTGTATGTGTGTGTCTGTGTGTGTATGTGTGTGCGTGTGTGTGCGCCCGCGTGTTTGTGTGTATGTGTGTCTGTGTGTATGTCTGTGTGTATGTGTGTGTGTGTTACATGCACGTGCTGTACCAGCTCTGGTACAGATTATGAATTGCTTTCTATACCTAAGCCACCATTTGTGAAGCCATCCCTCTGTCCCTAAGTGTGGCCCCCCACCCCCACCCCGGCCATCTTCTCTGATGGAACCCAGGTTCTCGCTCAATGCTGGGGCACTTTACCACTGAAGGACACTAAGCCCCACCCCCAGCCGGCCCCATTCGCGCCTCTCAATTTTTTTTATTCTCTTCTCTTTATCTTGCCTGCTCTGAGAGAAAAAAAATTTTTTTTACAAGCCCCAATAACTATGAAGCTAAGTTAACTTGCCCATGAGTGTGTGCATTTTAACCTCGGTCTCTTCACAGGGTGAGAAGTTTTTCTCTCTTTTCTATGGGTTTCAGGTTCCGGAAAGAGCTTTCTTTCAGAAAAAGGATGCACACTTGGTGCTCCTGAGACCATTATGTGGGGCCAGTGAGTTAGTCTGCCCCTGCGGGTCCCCTGTGGACCTTTTAGGGTTCTTTGGTCCACAGTTTAAAACCAACTACACACCGGGCAGTGGTGGTGCACGCCTTTAATCCCAGCACTCGGGAGGCAGAGGCGGGTGGATCTCTGTGAGTTTGAGGCCAGCCTGGGCTACAGAGCAAGATCCAGGAAAGGTGCCAAAGCTACGCAGAGAAACCCTGTTTCAAAAAAAAAAAAAAAAACAGCTACACGCTCTTGGTTTCCTCTGAACTATAGATATCTGACCTGGATGTAGCAGCAGTCACTTATAGCAACAGTTTTCAACCTGTGGGTCGCGACCCCTGGGCGTGCGCGCGTGCGTGCGTGCGTGCGTGCGTGCGTGCGTGCGTGCGTGCGTGTGTGTGTGTGTGTGTGTGTGTGTGTGTGTGTTCCCATATCAGATACTTACATGATGATTCATAACAGTAGCAAAATTACAGCTATGAAGCAGCAATGAAAATCACGTTATGGTCGGGGGTCCCCACAGCATGAGGAGCTGCATTGGGGGGTCCCAGCGTTAGGAAGGTTGAGAACCACTGACTTACCGGAAGGAGAAATCAGTCGCACACAGCCTGCTGTGTCGATTATCTACCATGTTCAACTTGCTGGGCCGGCGCCGCTTTGGCTGTTCGATTCCCCTCTATTAAGAGTCACTGCTTAAATCCCCACCCATCAAAATGCACCCCAGCCACCCACTCCTGTGCTACCTACCACCGTCACGAGGAGGCTGATCATGTGATCCATCACACAAACTGGGACACTTGGTGCGCAAAGGGGGCCACTGAAAGGAACACAGCCGCAAACTGGGATTGTTCCCGGCCAATGAGGGCATCTGACAGCTATTTCTGACTCGCCCTCTGCTGTTCCTCTTCGCCAGTGATCTTTCCCTTCTGCTGAATTTGTTCGGATCTCTGCACATCTCCTCGTTCCTGGTATTTGGAGTGCAAATAAATTGCCAACGTCAATGTTCTCTTCAACTCTGAATTCCTAGAAAGCAAACACGCTCGCTCTCCTGTTTGTATTTTCCCCGAGCATTTGACACAGCCCTGTGCATGTAGTAAACACTGATGGGAGTGGGAAAGAGAAGACAGACAGACAGAGGATACCAACACTGACACATCACTGTAAATATCCTATAGAATTGACGGCTGCCACCCCATCTAAATGCACATCCTTGTCTCTCTTTTGTAGTAAACTTCCAGATTGTCCTGGGCACGAGACTTAGCTTCTAGGCATCTCAGTCTCTTCCTTTCAAACACAAGGAAACTTGAGCCTGGCAGCTGGCTCAGTGGGCAAAGCACTTGCTATACACACATGAGTCGGGTGTGCTTTCCAGAGCCCACATAGAAAAGCCAGGCGTGGCTGTGTGTGCCTCTAACAGAAGGATCCCAGGGACGTGCAGTCCTGATAATCTAGCTAATTTGCAAGTTCTAGGTTAACTGAGAGACTCTCAAAAAACAAGGTGAGACTAATTGGGGAAAACACCAGCTGTTGGTATCTGGTCTCCACAGATACTTGCACACACATGTACAAGGACCCCATGCACTTGCACAGATACTAGTACACATGTGTACATGTACTCCTTGCATTTGCTGCCTTTCTGTTTCTTGAGTAAAACACCCTGATCAAGATAACTTAAAAAAGAAAGAATTTTATTTGGCATAGTGGTTCCAGAGGGTTAGAGTTCATAATAGAGGGCAAGGCTGAGACAGCAGACATGAATCTTTAAACTTACAAAGCCCTCCCCCAGTGACATACTTCAGGAAGGTGACACTTGCTAAACCACCCAAACAGCGCCACCAACTAAAGACTGAGCATTTAAATGCCTGAGACTATGGGGGACATACACATTAAAAACACTACTTACCTACCCCCTCCCCCCCCCCCCCCCCCCCCCCCCCCCCCCCCCCCCCCGCATGCCATGACCTGACATGCACGTACTGATGGAGAACATTCTACTTGTGTTGTGTACTTTGTAGGGATGCTGTAAGGCCAAAGGAAATGGTGTGTACAGAGATACTTTGACATATTATATGTGCCAGTGCCTCTGTTATAAGTCAATAGTATCATTTCAATGTATTTGTTTCTAAAAAAAGACAGCAACTGTGTGTTCAGGGGACTTCTTCAGCTGTTAAGTTTGGAGTTGAGATTTTAATTCTCTTTCCCTGCCATTCTTAATTGGGCTTAAGTTAAAGTGGACAGGGGAGGACTGAAGAGTAACCAGGACGTATATATACTATGCATGCAAGTTACTTAGTGTCTCAGTTCGTTTCCTCACCTCCTAAGTGAGGCCATGCTTGTAATCTGTCCCACTCTAGTTAAATGCATATGAAAAACCCTTCTGGGGCTGGAGCGATAGCTCAGTGGTTAAGAGCACTGCCTGGTCTTCCAGGGGACCCGGGTTCAATTCCCAGAACCCACATGGCAGTTCACAACTGTCTGTAGCTCCTGTTCCAGGAGATCCAATACCCTCACACAGACATACATGTAGGCCAAACACCAATGTACATGAAATACAAATAAATAAATTATAAAAAATAAGAAATTTAAAAAAGCCCTTCTGAAATAAGTAAAGAGGGTCATGAAGCTAGAGATTACTTCAGAATACTTTTTTGTTCTGTGACCTCATGATTGGTATTTTATTACCCATATTATTCATCCCTTCATCCTTTTAAATATATATGGTTACATATTCTTGTGCTATTATATAAGTACTATTATTTGTTTGGAATTATTGTAACAGGTATTCCAACTTTTTTAAAAATATATATCAGTGCTTAAAATTCTGAAATGTTTGGGTTTTTTCCTATCTTCATAAAAAGGAACCATTTCAACTTAATTTCTTATGTTTACACAAGTTATGAAGCAAGATGATGATGTCCTCCTAGTCCCTGAGGTAAGCATCATCCAGACAACCAAATCTATTGGAGTATAAAGGGCAGGAAGGACCTTAGAAGACATGTAACCCTTGTTCTATGTCAACAAAATGCTTTTATGTCCTGAAATCCTTGTTCTAGACATCTGAATGGTCAGTAGAAGCAAGGGATAGAGTGCCTTTGGATGGGACAATGGTAGCTCACCTTCAGGGTCATTTCTACCTTATGCTCTTTATAATGCAACAGGATAGTACTGTTTCAGAGTGTTAGCAGAATTTTCTCTTTGCCCAGCAGTGTCCTGCCAGCAGCTGTGAGATGTGCTCTGTACTTCTGTCCTGGAGAAATTGAAGGGAAATTGCTTCCTCCCTCTAGGAGCCCAGGAGCCTCGATACATGATTGTACGCAATCAGGATTCTTCCAGAGGCTGCTTCCTTCTAGTGTAACTTTGGGCCTCCGATGCCGTTGACAATCTCCACATTCTCCCTTCATCTTCTGTCTCTCCATTTCACATGGCCAACATGGAATTCCTGTCAAAATTGTTTTTAGAGTGCTGCTGCAAAGCTCTGAGGACTCCCTGAGTTATACAACTCACCAGCCCAAGTTGGAGTGAAGATGCCAGTCTCTTTTCGGTAAACAAGATTTATTTTAGGGCAGCTCTAAAGCTTTTTGTTTTATTCTACTCAGAGTCAAGAGAACACCCCTTGGGGACAGTGAAATATGCCCTGGCACATTTCTCCTGAGCACATGTTTATATTTCAGCTTGAAAGAGCCCCCTTAGCTTGCTAAGGATTTATATAGCAAAGGTTGCAATTTCTCAAGTCCCTTGTAAAGTCATTATGGTTGATGTGACCTCTGGGATAATGTACATCTTGAAGGGCTGCAGGATATGAGCCTGTACGATTCTTGATCAGTGCAGAGCTCTAGGTAGGTCTAATTGCTCCTGTGCGTGTGTGTGCATGTTTTTCTAGCTTTTTGTTGCTGTCCTGTAGAATCAGATTTCCAGCCTTCAAAAATGCCATTTTCCTCTCACACTAGAGATGTTTTCTGTTATCTGTGACTTCAGTCATTAGAAGTGGTGTGAGCTTTTGTTTTCGTTTTTAATTTAAATTTAAAAATGAATCTTTTTGTGTAGTGTATGCATGCTCCTGTGTGTACGCATGTGCATATGGAGGGCAGAGTCTGCTGTCTGATGTCTCCCTCAATTCCTCTCCACCACATCTGCTGTTGATACGGAAGGGTTGCTCGCTGAATCTGGAGCTTACCAGTCAACTAGGCTGGGCTGGTCAGCAAGATTTATGGATCTGCCTGTTTCCACTCCTTCATCCCTGCGCCCCATGTTAGGGTTACAGACATGTGCAATCATACCCAGCCTTTTTGTGTAGGTCCTTGGGATGCAAACTCCAGTCCTCACCCTTGTGTGGCAGGCACTTTATGACCAGGTCATCTTCTGAGATCCTGATTTTTTTGTTTGGTTAAATTTTTTTTTTCACTTACTTGATTATTTAACATTGAAAGATTTAAATAGTTTAGAAAATTTTCTTTTTCTTTTTCTTTTTTTAGAATGAACTCATTACTTTAACACATTTAAGTGTAAGACACTAAACTTCCTACTGTTCTGTTGACTGAGTTCTTATTATCCTCAGCAGCTTTTCCCAAGCTGGCGGTAGTAGAGTGATTGGTTACTGACGTCATACTATCAGGCATCTGTTACCAAACAATGTTATTGGCTAAAGTCTGGGTGTGACAGTTGATACTGTGACCTTGACAAGGTCTATGGTCACACAGGCTGTCACAAACCTAGTGACATCTATGAGAGATTATTTAGAATAGGTTAACCTCTGGGCATGCCTAGGAGGCCTTGTTTGATAGGTGACTCAGGATGCACCATTCCCTAGGCTGTAGACAAAGGAGGAAGTTAGATGGCCACCAGGAGAGCGCTCATCACTCTCTTCTTCCTGATCGAGGACACCGTGTGACCAGCTGCCTCAAGCTCCTGTCACCCCTACAAACCTGCCATGATGGAATGAACCTTTACACTGTAAGCCAAACGAAGCCCGTTCCGCCTTAAATGGGTTTTGGGGGGTTAGTTGGTCTCAGCAACAGGAAAAGTACTTACTACAATGAGTAAACAAAGTGAAGCAACCTTCTTTATGTTTTGCTTCCCAGGACTACCGTATCATGTCAAGGTTTAATTCAACAAGGAATTATAGAGCTTGTTTATTTTTTCTCAAATACAATTGACCAGAGAAGACCATGTGTATTTGTTTCACTGGTTGTGAGTCCTTAAGTCAATGGCTCTCTCCCTTCCTAATGCTGCAACCCCTTTCTACGGTTCCTCATGTGGTACTGACCCCCCCCCCCCACCGTAAAATTGTTTTCGTTGCTACTTCCTAACTGTAATTTTGCTACTGTTAGGAATCGTGATGCAAATGTTTTTGGAGACAGGTTGGCCAAGGGGGCCGCGACCCACAGGTTGAGAACTCTGCTGCTTGAGAGACTCTTCAGAACTTCCTTTCAGTGATGCTTCCAGGCGGAATCCTTGCGCCCCATCGCCGCGTAGGGCATTGTTGATGGTACCTCGTGCTGGAAATGATCTCTGACTGCTGGGGAAACCTAGAGGCTGTTGAGATGGCTCAGTGGGGAAAGGCTCTTGCTGTCATTCTTGTTGACTTGAGTTTGATCCTGGAATCCACAGCCGGAGGGAGAGAACCAAAGTTACTCTTTGACTCCCACACATGCAGTGGCATCCTTTGTCCACATAAAGACATAAATATGACCCCCGTTTCTGTTCA